CTTATCCATTCGTCTGTTGAAGGGCATCTTGGTTCTTTCCACAGTTTGGCGACCGTGGCCATTGCTGCTATAAACATTGGGGTACAGATGGCCCTTCTTTTCACTACATCTGTATCTTTGGAGTAAACACCCAGTAGTGCAATTGCAGGGTCATAGGGAAACTCTATTTTTAATTTCTTGAGGAATCTTCACACTGTTGTCCAAAGTGGCTGCACCAACTTGCATTCCCACCAACAGTGTAAGAGGGTTCCCCTTTCTCCACATCCCCTCCAACACATGTTGTTTCCTGTCTTGCTAATTTTGGCCATTCTAACTGGTGTAAAGTGATATCTCAATGTGGTCTTAATTTGAATCTCCCTGATGGCTAGTGATGATGAACATTTTTTCATGTGCCTGATAGCCATTTGTATGTCTTTATTGGAGGAGTGTCTGTTCATATCTTCTGCCCATTTTTTGATATGATTATCTGTTTTGTGTGTGTTGAGTTTGAGGAGTTCTTTATAGATCCTGGATATCAACCTTTTGTCTTTTTATTGATATGGAAGGACCTTTCTCCAGCTTTGCAAAAAAATGCAGACTCACCTTCCTTCTTTGAATGACAACAGAGCTCTTTTTTTTCTATTTCATTTTTAGTTTTTACCATAACTGTACACAAATACCCTTCAAGAGTCAAATCATTTAAAAAGGCAAACAGTTCAAAGATTCAAAAATTGGAAAAACTTACTAAAAAAAAAGACAACAAAGCTGTCTGCCCCCAACTTTCTCTAGAGGGCAACTACTAAAATTGTTTTAAAGTGGTTTGTTTGGTGTTTGGCTCCAGATTGCATATCCCTGAGGGCTTCTCAAGGTTAAGAGCCCCTATGTTTTATAACTGATTCAGTCTGTGAGGTGGGATATTCAACGATGGTTGAAAGGCAATTATCCAAATGATGACAGTTCATTGCTTAAAGCTTCTGTAGCAGTTTTCCCTGGAGCAGATCTGAAATGTCAAAGGCAATTTCCAGGAAATGTATTTTTTCAAGTTCTTTCTGAAAATGTTGCCTCTTCGCAAGACTTATCTTGCTACCTGAGAAAGGCCCTGTGCAATGGTCTTTGCAGTCCTACAGTGAAGAAAGAGGGCAGCAGGGCGTGTGGGGACAGAGACCCTCCCCTCCAAGGGTTCAGTGTCCTCGAACACAGATTGCAGGTACAGGCTTGAGAAAATGCAGACCTTTCCAGGAGGCAGCCAGGCTGGTCTGGACTTCTGGGCTCCACCAACTCCGAGGGAAGCAGGTATTAAGGACCATCTAGCTTAAGGGTTTTCTAGTACTTCCCCTCTTGGAAGCTCCTAGATGTCAGGAAAGTGATGCTCTTTTTTTCTCTTTATTTTTTTTTTCTTTTTTCCCTTTCTGGTCTTGACTCCTCCACCATCCTAGTGTCTGGTCATCTTTAAATCTGCATCACTGACCATCATAAGACTATATTTCTTTTTAAATATTCCAGGATTTTCACTTGTTCACATCAGTTCTTATCCTGATTCATTGCCATGCCATGCTTTAAATTAATAGATTACCATCAGCCATTTCATAAAATGCTATGTATTTCAAAGCACCTGTACAAACAGCAAAGGGTCCATTTCTCCTTTTGAACTCATCTGCTTCTTAACCATCAAAGAGAGCTATGCAACCCAGCATGTTTTCTTCTTTGCCCTGATTACCAAGAAGCTCAGACGCATACATGCTGTACATAACTGCTGAACACAGTCATCTGCCAGGGTGTGTCCCTCTCTTAATCCTTAACTTCTCCCTTTACATCGTGGCTCCTACCTGGTGCCTTGTCTTAATGGCTTCAGTTCCAATATACGTGTGCATTTATTTTAAGTGGTCTCAACGCCTCTTTAAAGTAGGTAGGAATAACGTGTGTGTGTGTGCCTGTTCATGTAATGTATAGATTCATATGTATGTCTATTATGTATTAATTTATGAACACACACACATATTCCCAATGCTGAAAGAATATCTGTCTACATATTTCCCAGATCTCTTCTGCCAGCCTCTCTCTCAGCTCCTGGGGCCTCTCCAGTAGTCTATGTGGTCACACACAAATGAGGGTATCTAGCTCCTTCCCAATTAGTGAATCCCAGGAAAGGAAGTTCTCATCTGAAAACGTGAGTTAGTGATGAACATATAAGTGCAGATTTTATGGAGGAATCTCAGAAAAACGGATTTCTGTTCTTTTCTCCAAATCCCTTCTTTTGTAATTCTGCCTTGAATTGAGTTTATTTCGATACTTTAAATCAGGGGTCAGAAAACTTTCTCAGCAAAGGGCTAAAGAATAAAATTTTAGATTTTGTGGGCCATGAGTCCTGTCTGGGTTGCAACTATAACTATTCAATGCTGCATTGTAATGCAAACATAGCTATAATCTGCATAAACAAATGAGCATGACCCTGTTTCAATAAAACTTTATTCATAAAGTAGGTGGTGGGCTGATCTGGCCCACGACTGTAACCCTAACCCTTCCATATCCACTGTACCTGTAGCCACTAGATCCTAATTTCAGTGTCACTCTGGCCAACTCCAATGTCCAATCTATCAAATTAGATTTTGCAAAACAGAAGGCTCTCCAGTTAATGGGATGAGATCCATTCTACGTCTTTTATTGCTTGAAAATACCCTGCAGGAGTTTGCCCTTGTCTCACATACACCAAAAACTTTTTAAAAATATTTGTTTCTACCACAGTGTTCACCACAAGAGAACTTCAGATATATATTATAAATATATCTCCATCTGCAATAGTGTTTTTCAGCCTACAGCCATATTTAGGGGTTTAGAAAGTGGGACCAAACAAGAGACGAAAAAAACAAGGCTTCCTGCCAACAATCTCCAGCACATGACCCTGATCGTTACAGTGCTATGCCTCAGTTTTCTCATCTACACAGTGGGGATAAGACTTCACCTGCCCAAAGGCCACAGCCTGGACAAGATGCCCCCCCCCCCCCCCCGTAGACTCTTTCTGGGATTTAGACAGATTATTTTCCTAAACCGATGATTTCCAAATGGTTTCAGGAATTGCAGTTCCCTGAGGCACTTATTAAAACAGAGATTGCTAGACCCCAGCATGAGTTTCTAATCAAGTAGATCCTAGGGTGGAGATGAAGAATCTGCAGGGCCACCAAATTCTGTTAGTGCTGGCCCAGGGACCACAATTTTGGTCCACGATAGAGATCTCACAGTCCTCTACACAGGGAAGCAATGGCTGGACAGTGGGGGACAGTCCTACAGCTGGTTCCTCTTCATTTTTCCAAAATGCCGTTCCCTCCCAAAGGGGTGAGAGATTAGACCTGTTTGCTCACCGAGTCTCAGATGCTACAGTCACACCTCAGCTGACTACAGGCTGAAAGGAGGCTAGTGGTGACTTTTGCAGGATCATGCTAGAACGTAAAGGCCGATGGGCAGCCAGGTAAGCCCTAGAGAAGGACAGGGAAACCGGGGACCATTGAGAAGTGAGAGACAAATACACCATCAGGCAACTCCTTTGTATAAACCAACCTTCTAGAACCTTCTATTTCCATAAACACAAAGTCAACCCAAGCAGTGACTGAAGTTTAATCATACATGGATCCCACAGCAAATACTTCAGGGTAGGAGGCAAGGAAGGCTGCCCTCAGGAGCTCTCAGCCTAACAGGGAAGGCAAAAGGCACACTGTATCCACACACTTGACAGAGGTCAAAACAAGTAGTTAATAGGATACAATAGTGTGTGCATGACCATGGAGTGTTCTAGAGAGAGGACACTGGTGGGCTTGAGAGCCCTAAGCAGGCCTCCCTGGGAGATGGAAGCAGGCGGCAGGGGCAGGAAGGCTCTGAGGCAGTGGAAGGGTGAGGTCTGTGTGGCAGGAAGCAAGGCTGTGCCTGAGGGGATAAGAATGAGCACAGGGGGATCCTAAGCATGACTTTACCCCCTCAACTCATCTCCATTTCTCTGCCTCAGTTTCCTGATTTGAGGAATATGGGTTTTGAGCTAACTCGTAATTTTGCAAGTTCTGTTCCAGCCTGGAGAGACCCCAGGCCACTAAAAGGTGTATGAACATGCTGGCCCCAGCCTGCCTCTTCGTCGCCCTGCCTTTGCTTCAACCAGAAAACTCCACTTTCTTATGTTTCTGCACTCACTGCACAGTTTCGCTTCCAGAAGGGATTTGAAAGTCACTCAACAAGAAACTCTGTAAAAGCTCTTTCCATTTGTATCTCAGGTGACCAAATGAAAAAGAGAAAGCAGCCAGGAAGCACAAAGGATGGGACCACCCCATTGGCCGGGCTGGATCCCAGAGCAGCTGAGCAGCAAGGGGGGCTCAGACCCGTGGGGTGGGATGCCGGGAAGCTTGCAGGCTTGTGTGTGGAGGAGAGGCATGGGGACAGCAGTGAGATCAGGCCCACGGGCTGCTGGAGAAGCAAACAGATCTGAAAATCTCAACCGCTCAGAAGGTTCTGAGTAAAAACAAAGGGTGATTTTTTTCCCCCTTGTCAGCCTTCCCTCTCAGGACATTGTAATGTATGCAAAACGTGTAACTGTAAGACAAACATTTTTTTCCACTGCCCTTCTGAGCCCCACGGGCCTTCAGGAAGACCTGCACTTCAAGCAAAGCCGTTTTATTTTTCAACACCCACAGCTTCCATTCCATAATCAGAAGTTTTCCACTTTCATCAAAGAGACTGAAGACAGAGGCCAAGGGAGCAAATCTGTTCTCAGCGGCGCTGGGCAGGTTAGAGAGACCCCGCTACCCTCTCGATGTCCGTGCCCACCGCCGGCCACAGCCTTCTCACCAGATCAGCTAGGTGCACACCCCAGAGGACACTGGCTGGCTTCAGCCCCACCTCAGCTACCAGACCAAAGGAACCCGTGCACCCACTGCTTCCAAAACTAAGCCTGACTTGGGGTCCGGGGAGGGGGGCGTCAGCTTCCTTAACGGTGATGCAGGTACAATTTTTACCACTCTAGGTAGCGCAAGAAAGCAATTTACCTCTTGATGGCTCTTCCTTCTCCAGGATCTGTGATTTTAGGGTTTCACTGGAAAGGAATATTCAGACCAGTCCCTAGAGTCTGACCCAACTCCAGTGACGTTCAGCTGTCTGGGATCACTGCATTTGCAGCAGGAAGAATCATCCACAGGACATTTCCTTAGGAGGAGCTGGGGCTCCTGCTGGCCCTCTGAGATACCGTGCCACCAAAAATGAGCAGACAGGCAGGGGAGGGCGGGTGCTTACAGAGGACTGGGTACTTCCGAATGAAGTTTTCAGAGCTATAGCTGGAGGCCCCAGATCTGCAGTGATTCATATTTTAAATGGGGTGTTGAAGTGGAGACCGTTAGTAACCGCAAAAGGACAACGCTGTCCTCTAGAGAATCTATTGGATCTGTCCAAATTCTCCACTCGGCCCAGGGGACCACTAGGCATGCTTGACCCAGGTGGACCAACACCTTGGCCAAGTCCATCCCCATTCGTGGCAGGACTCTCATGTGAAATGCACAGCAGCTGTGCACACATGGGGGGAAGGAGAGGGGTATAAGGACCCCCACAAGGTGCCAAGGCCAATAGGGGGCAGGGCGGAGAGCAGATCTCAGGTTTTCAGCCTTGAAGCCCAGTGATGATTTAATGATTTAACACCGGCAGGGGGTGCGAGGGCGGGGGGGGGGGGGGGGGGGGGGGGGGGGGGGGGGGGGGCGCGGGGGGGGGGGGGGCGGTGGACAGGTGTGTCTACGCGCCGGGGTGATGTCATTGATCGACATTTCCCGCTTTGGCCGAAACAGTTTTCATATTCTCTGATCCTCAGTTTTGCGCTCGGTGGAAAGGAAATGTGAGCTGCGTCAGAGGGCAGAGGTGAGAGCCGAGTGAGGCAAGGTGTCAAGTTCTGCTAGTCCGGGCGCGGCGCCCGAGATGGTTGATCTTCAGTTGCAATAGTCACACACACACACACACACACACACACCTTACCCCACGCAGAAGACACACACAACACGCGCCCCACATCACGTATGCGACGCGCACATGCGCCACGTATGCATACCACACTCCCACCGCCCCGCACGCTGCACCTGTGCCCCTCGCAGAACACACCCCCCCCCTTCTGCACCACTCGCTTCCCCACCCCCACCCCCACCGCCAGGCCCTTCCCCTTTCTGGGAGCGTGCTGGCGAACCCAGGTTTCTCTGCACGCTTGACACCCCCCCCCCAGTGCAGCCAGCAGGAATTTTTTTTAAGAATCCGTGTTTCCAGATTTCTGCTCTCTTTGGATTCGCCCCCACAATTCATCCTCCCTCCGGCTTGCCCTCTTGGGACGAATCTCCGCATTTGTGGGCTCTTCCTTCCCAGAGAGCTGGTGGCATCTCCAGTTTTCAGCATACGCTGATACGATCAGACTGAACCCTTCGGTGTTTTGAGCTAACTCGTAATTTTGCAAGTTACCCCGTCCCGGGACCCCAGCTTCTACGAGGTCCCACAAAGAGACATTTTCTACCGAGGTCTTCTGAGCTTCAGGCCTCGCTACAGAGAATGTGCGGCTTCTCAAGCAGGAAGGCGTTTTGTGGCTGAGTCTAAGTGAAACAGAAGTTGCTTTGTGCACACACATACACACACACACACACACACACACACTCCCCAGAGTAGGGAAACCGTCATTTTCTTACTCGCCTTCTGACATTAACCACCTTCTCTGTCTGCACTCAAATTCATCCCTGGCAATGAAAAATGAGCCTCTCCCCCACCCCTGCTGCCGCCTTTCGCCTCACGCCCCCAGAGAAGAGTGTCTCCGTGTGGCAGCCGGTGAAGGTTTTTTTCCACGTCACATGATCCAGGATGCAGGGGGAGAATCCTTCTTGGAACAGAGATGGGCCCAGAAGTGAATCTGATCAGGAGAGATAAGGTGTGCTGCGGGAAGACTATATAAGAATGGACCCAGGGCTGCAGCAAGCACTCACCGGAGTGGCCCCTTCTCGAGACACAGCCATGCATGTGCCAGCGGGCTCCGTGGCCAGCCACCTGGGAACCACCAGTCGTGGTTATTTCTACTTCACCACCACCACGCTGGCTCTGTGTCTTGTCTTTGCTGTGGCAACCATCATGATGTTGGTAGTTCAGAAGACGGTAAGTGGACTCCTGGTCTTCTTTCCTTTCCGATTTTTGTTCAGTTTTCCCCAGAGAGAGAGAGCCTTGAGAATAAATTAATAAACTAGTGGAGAAGAGAGAGGGGGGAAAAGTACCTAGATCATGCAGAAAGATGGAGAAAAGAAAACAGAAACTCAGCACTCTGAAATAATTTAGGTTTTAAGAGAAAAGTGTGCTCAGCCATCACCTCAAAACTTTCCAGAGTCACGTGGGCCAGAAGAAGAGAGGGGAGCTATTAGTATTAAGATATTAAGATTTCAATTTTGCTGGGCCGGAGAGGTGTATCAAAGAAGGAAGTGATAAGGAAATCTGATAACCGATTTGCACGCCTCAGGACCTTGTCTTCAAGGTCTGCCACCAGATTCCAGGGTTCTCTGTTCTCAGGCCGAACATTGCTCAGATTTCTGGGGCCTCCTCCGTTGCCAAGAGCTTTCACAACAAGGAACTAAGTTTCAGTGCCCGAGATGTATGAGGGAAGGAGCAAGACAGGAGGCCAGGCTTAACTCCTTAGAGCTATTTAAGCCTATAGGGAAAGTTGCAAGCTTCCTCTTGAGTCACTGTTTGGAAGAGTTTAGGATGTCAGTAGAAACCTAGGACATGGAGGCAGAACATAGAAATGCTTTTAACACCTGTTCCCTTGGAGATTGCTCAGAATACTAAAAGGACAAGCAATCAGACAAGCAATCATGGGTACCCACTGTAGAGGCAGACGGTCTCAGGAAATTTACTTTGTTTGGAGGAAATGGTACGATTTGTTGCAAAAACAGAAGAGATGAAGGAGGGCACTTCTTCATATTTTAGGAAATTGGTGTTTACAGAGAATGCGGTCAGTGTCCTTTTTTGTAGAAAATACCGTATTGATGGTATACATTGCTCATGGATTTTTTAATGAAGTAAAGTTTTTGTTAATACTGGTAATTTGAGAACTCACTCCCTCTCCATGCCCTGCCAAAGTGAGAATGTTTCTGTTTATTCCTTCCTAGCTCCCATTTTTCATTACAACCCTGCAGAACTTGTCCCAGTTTTCCTTCCATTGTCTTAGGTTGAATGTTTTATACCATATGGATTGCTGAAAAGAACAAGGCTTTAAAAGATTTTGGTATCTGTTTCTCAAGTGTCATCAGCTTTGAAATTTAAATGAAGCTTGGAGGCTCATATCTTCATAAAAGTGAAAGAAAAAAGAATTACTAACATTTGATTTGATAGTGGAAATTATGAAATGCATCCTTGAATGGGCTCATCTACAGCTACTAAGAGTAATACTCCTGAAAATATTCTAGGGCATTTTTTTTGGGGGTAGAAGCTAGATAATTTCTATAATTCTAATTTGAGGTAAACCAGAAGTATATCATTTTATAGCAATGGCCAAAGAAAAGAAATTGAAGTGGTCTTTAAGTTTTTTTAGTTAAATGTTGTAGCTAGTACTGCTAAGAAAGAGGAGAGGGAGGAAGGAAGGAAGGAAGAGGGGGGTGATGGTGAAATATAAAGCCGGATTGGGGGAACCAGGTGGTGGGTATTAGAGAGGGCACGGATTGCATGGAGCACTGGGTGTGGTACAAAAACAATGAATACTGTTATGTTGAAAATAAATTAAAAAAAAAAAAAAGAAAGAAATATAAAGCCGGAGAGAGCTCTGGAAGGGTCCTTTTTCAAGCCCATTCTTTCCAGGAAGGAACTACAGTAGATTCTTCTGGCCCATTTTTGTATATGTGGAAAATGAGGAACAGAAAGGAGAAGGGGCTTGAACTAAGTCATCCTGAGAAAGTGATGGCATCAAGACCATGCATGATTGTTTAATGAGAACAGCACTCCCTTGACTAATACAGCCAGCCAGCCACAGAAGAACTTAGAAATTTCGTTCCTGCTCCTCTCTCAAGAGCCTTATCTTCTTCTGCATCCATTTCCTTCACTTACTCCTCATGTTAGGATATAAAAAGATTCACTTCACAATCTGATTGTAGGGTTTGGTGGGCTGTGGTTTCTTTAGTCTGGCAGATATCAGTTACTTACTTAAAAGCTAAGGTTTGTTAATACTGATCGTGATATTAAGTGTTCAGTGTTTTGCACATACATCATTTCCAGTGAATTATCCAGACATTAACAACTGCAAGAGCTGAGAAGAGTTATTCCCTTGAGTTATCAAGGAAGGCTTCCTGCAAGAAAAGGGAATGCAGGCTGACTCTAGGAAAGGTAGAACTTAGGTAAATGGAGAGACCCTAACAGGACCTCTGGTAAGGAAGTTAATGGGAGAGACCCAAGAAACTTAAACTCACATCCCAATTATCAAAAAATGGAATGGGTCAATGACTACATAGCACTCTGTGTTAGGTTGGAAGGGGCAGGGATGGAGTATCATGAGAATGGTTTTACTGGCCTAAGAAGTCACAGTTCTGGGTAAGAAGCACATGAGCACAAAATTTAAAACAAGATCAGTCATAATATATAATAAGTGATGGAAGGTAGCCACATAGGGTTTCCATGACACCACAAATTAAGGAGACAGAGTGTTTTCCCAGGTTTAAGAACCACTTCACTGGAGATTAGAGCTCCAGACTGGCTTGAGAAATTTAAAGCAGGTGGGAAAGGCAAATTAGAGGAGGGGGGCACTCCGGGCCAATGGATAAGTGTGAAAAAGTGATGGAGAAGAGAAGACACAGAGAATGTAGAAAAACCAACAAAGATTACCTTGAGATTGGCCTAAAGACCAAAAGACTCAAGGTCAAATTCCTTGGGAGACACAAAGAAGAAACTTAGGTTTCAATCTCAAATATTTATTGGGCATCTTCTGTGTGTGGGACATCATTCCAAGCAATGGGGATAGAGCTTGAAAAAAGCCAACAAAATTCCCGCTTTTGTGTTTCTTATAGAACTACTTGTCTAGTAACGTCTTTAGAGTCCCTGTGGTAGTTTTTCTTAATTTATATTGAAGCCAGTATATTTATTATAAAATATTATATTCATATGGTTTAAGAAAAGTAAACATGGGAAAAGAAACTAAAACTCAATCATACCATGCCCATCCAACCACAATTCCCTCTTCCGTGAGATGACCACCATGAACAGACTCTCCCACGTCCTTCCAGAAATAAGTGTGTCTGCAAATAGATAGCATAACATGCTGTTCTATTAGACTCATAATTTTGCACCTTGCTGTATTGAGGTGACAGTGTATCTTGGAGACCCTTGCATGACAATGCATGAAAGTTTGTCTCATTCTTTGGGAGGGTCAGAAAGTATTCTGTTATACGACTGCTTCATAACTTATTTTGTCTGTGCCTAATGAAGGATACTTCTATTTTTCTCTAGAAGTTTTACCCACTGTGCACATCTGCAAGTATATCTGTAGGAAGAATTCCTAGTGAGGGGAATAGAATGTGTATTTTTCACCTCAGTAAATATCGTCAATACAAGAGATTGTACCAATATACTCTCGAGTCAGCAAAAGTCCTACCAACAAAGAGACACCTCTTCACAACCATATCGAAAGACAGAAAACTGATCTGTTATTAAGTAAGCCCAAAAGAGTACATGCATATGCATCAGGATGAAACTTCCCACAATTTGTACAGCAAAGCAAATGAAAAATAATGAAATGTGACTTATCTTGTCCAGAAAGTAGGGGTTATACAAGGAGATAGGCTGCAAAGCTGGTGGTAGAGGCATAATTTCAAGAGGCTCTAAGGTCTTCAGTCTAAGAGCCAATTCTATAAACCTAGGGACTGGGTTTATCAGTCCCTGAAAAGATTTGTTTACATTCCAAAATGTTAGAGCGAGAGTTCAGGATCATTAGGTTTTTAAGAAGACCCTTTCTAGAAAGAGAAAGCAGCTGCCTCCTTTCCCTTTGTAAGTAAAGAAAATGCCTTTAAAAACAAAAGAAAACAAACATATCCTTCCAGTGCCACTCTACATCCCCATCAAAAGTGGACTGAGTGTTCAGTTAGGCATAGAGATTGTTGGTGGCAGTGATATGGATTTTGGGTTTGCTTTGACCTTCAAAGACAATGTAGGGGTGAGTTGAAATGCCCCGTGATGCTTCTTTCTACCCACACTACTCTCTACAGTGCATTCAATTTATCAATTAAAAAAAAAAAGAAAAGAAAAGAAAACCACAGAAAGTTTTCTCAGGGGCAAGGCTTTTGCTAGGGTAGGGAGGGAGGACCCACATGGACAGAGCAGGGCCCCCGTTTTCTGACGATTCTCAAAGTAAGGCCCAAATACCCAAGAGCTTGAGTTCAGGGCAGAATGGCACAGAATGCCATCAGTGGGAGGGGGAGGAAGAATTTCTTCTTGGGATGAGGACGGGGCTTGCAGAAGAGCTAGAACAGAAGCTGAGCCTCCTCCAAGAATTAGAAGGATGTCTTACGCCTGAAGTTTTATTTTGAAAATTTTGAAACCAATAGAAACAGGATGGTAAACACCCATATAACCTCCCACCTAAATTGACTGGGTTAACATTTGCTCTATTTGTGTTCTTTTTATGTGAATGACAGTAAGGTGCAGATGGCGTGGCCTTTTACCTGTACCTGTCTCAGTACTCATCTCCTCCTTACTGCAAGGCCATTATCACGGCCAAGGGAGTCAATGTCAATTCAGTGGTTCCATCTAATAATAATGCATAGTCCATATATCAATGCCCCCTACTTGTCCAAAAATATCTTCTACAGCTGTTGTGCCTTGTCTTGATTGGGGATCCTGAATTCACCCTCCAGGCACACACCACATTTGGTTATGTCATTTTCAAGCTATAACGTTGCTATTTAATAGGTGGTCCTGGGAGCTTGTTGGAAATGCAGAAACCCAGGCCAAATCTAGACCAAATGAATAAAAATCTGCCCTTTAATAAACTCCCTGGGTGACTCCTTGCACACTAAAGTTTGAGAAGCAATCGTTTAGCAATTTCCTCTGCCATTTGTTGTTTGTTTCTCAGGATGTTGACTTTTTCAAAGGGTCCAGGTCAGTGTGCTTATAGAATTGGCCAAGTTTTGGATTTGGCTTCATATTCATCATGATTATATTCAGATGAAACTATTTTGGGCAAGAATAGTACATAGGTAATGTTACATATTATTATAGCACCTAGGGGCGTATGTCAGGTTATCCCATTATTGGTGATGATATATGGTTCCTTGATTAAGGTGGTGACTGCTGGTGAACACTTTTGTCTTTCTTACTAATAAGTAATCTATCTTAAAAGACATATAAATATCTTCCATTCCACAGTTTGGGCACAATCCTTGTCTGAATTGGGGAATGAGCCAAGGGTCAGAGAATGATGATTGCCTAAGCCTATCATTATTTCTGCATTTATTAACTGCTATTCTTCAGTAGAGAAGAGCTCTCTGTTGGAAGGAGAGTGGCAGGTGGAGCTGGGGCAGGGCTTTCTGGGTGAGGCAGAAGAGTGAGCAGAGGCACAGCCCAGAAGCAGGCAAATCCAAGTGTCAGGAGAGGAGTGGCAGGGCCAGAACAGAAGTCATCCCAGACTGCACATGGGAAGAGCAGGAAGCAGAGATAGCTGGCAAGAAGGTAGGTAAGAGAGTAGGATGCTATGTCCATCAGGAGAGTAAGAAGAAGATTTCTTAAACCCATGTATGAGCCCAGCCCGTAGGCAACCCCCGCTCCCAGTTCCTTGAGGGAAAGAAGACCTCAGGTGTTCTGATGGCCTAATGAGTAATGTCTTTAAGCCCTTGCCACTCAAAGTGTGGTGCATGGCCCAGCAGCATTGGCATCATCTAAAAGCTTATTAGTAAAGAAAAACCTAGAGGGTCCATCCCAGACCTACTGAACCAGAGTCAGCATTTTAACAAGATTCCTAGCGGGAAAAGCACTGCTTCAAGCCACTCTGTTCTAGTTTCCTCCTGGATTAACCATACCAAAACCAAGGCAGAAAAAAAAATCTCTTCTCTTGAGGATTTTCTATGACCTCCCTCTACTTTCTCATTGAGTCACGGGAGAATTTTCTGCCCCAGCTCCATCCTGCCCTACTCGAGCAAGGCAGTGTAGCATGGCATTGAAGAGCATTGCCTTCCAATTCAACACACTTGATGTGAATCTTTTCCCTGCTATCCACCATTTGTAGGACCTTCTGAAATTTCTAAGACTTCATCAGTCACAAACTCTTGGGGTAAAGACCAAGTGAAATGATGCATGGAAAGCATTTATCCTTGGAGGACTAAGCAGCCTCGTGGAGGGCTTCCTCATGCTAGCTTGAAAGTAAGGGAAACGTTCCTGGCCCCAAATCTCCATGACCCACCTTACAAGACAATAGGAAGCCAGCAAAGAAGGGGATATGTAATCGCCCTGGCGTATTCCAAATGTTGGTTGCCTTGGACCATTTTCAGTTTCAAAGGACATTTGGATCCAGAGCACACTTTGTATCTGATTTCTGCACAGCACTGCTCTGTAAAAGAAATGAGCTTTTCAAGGTATTGGGGCAAATTAAGCACATCATCAGGATCAAGAGAGTAACCAAAATAGCTATCATTTCGAGCACTTCTCAGTACTTTATATACAATATCTTGTTGTGTCTGCAACAAGCCAGTGGAGGGAAGGATGATTAGTCCTCTAATTACAGTGACAAAAAGGAAGAGGAAAACAGAGTCCTGGGCAGGGAACATGATTGCAACTGAGTCATTCCACCTGGGGACAAATAGGTTAAATGTGAGGGTTCCTCCCTCCATCCACAGAAACACTGTTGGAAATACCCATCAGACACCTGGAGTCTGAAACAAAAGAGGTACAGTGAAGGAAGTGTAGCTGGTTCTTAACCATGGAGATGAAGTTTCCTGAGCTACTTAGTGGGAGCTGAGAATGACAGCCTGGGAGGGTCCATTAGCTTGCGTCTGTGTCTATCCTACGTGCCACTGACCACAAAGACAAGTCATTGAGCAAGATGGTCCACATTTCCCCAGCCAGGACCCAGATCCCCAGGCAAGATTTGGGAGAGAATGCTAGGACTGAGAAGCACCTTGCCAAAGAGCAGTTGATGGATAGCACTACATAGTGCCTCGGGTATAAACAACTCCCAGCAAACTGTAAAAGTCACCATCTCTTCACACCCTGCCCTTCTACCTCCAAATGCAAGGATTGTTAAAGGGAGGGGAGAATGAGCATCACCAACCTTGGCCTCCTGAAGCTAGCATCTCTCTTGGGACAGTGGAAAGACCACCAGAGAATTTGAATCCGAGATCTGCCACTGACTCATGAGTGTCTCTAGTTCCTTTTCTGTTAAATTAGCCTGATGGACTAAATGATGTCTAGGTCCCTCTCTGGCTCTGCTTCCCTGATCTTTTCTACCAGAGGCAGCCAGAGGAGCTCTGGCAAACCTCATCCCAGGAGCTCTCTAAACCAGGAATAATCACATTTATGTCTTGGATGCCCTGTGCCCTTGTACTAAGATAGATTGTTTCTGACATGCTCCCGCCTAAAGTTGGCAAACCAGGAAGCCCTCCAATAACCAACAGAGGCCTTCTCTGACCCCCACAGAAGTGAGGTCCCCCTCCCAGATATTATCTCTTACAAATTTGCCACGTACACAAATTGTGTTCTGTGGGCCAGGAGCCTCAGTGACACCAGACAGCTTGTCAGAAATACAGACTCTCAAGCTCCAGCCAAACCAGCTGAATCAGAATTTGCGTTCTAACCGCCTCCCTGGTGATCGGCGTATACGCGTTAAGTTTGAGAAGGTTTATCTTGAAAGGCTCTCTTCCTTTGTTGTCCTTGCCTCAACTTGCAATTCAATTCTTATATTTATTTGTATATCTTAAATGACGGCTTTAATGACTAAGCCATAAAATCCACAGGATGTCTTCTGTGACTAACATAGTTCCTGGCACACACCAGACCAGGTGCTCATTTGACAGGTGTTGAATGTCTGACTTCCTGGTATTTCCGGGGTGGCTCGTGGAGCCTGGGATGGTCCTACTGTGCCAGCCTCCTCTCACTCTTCCTGGACACTTTCCTGGGGGTTCGACAAATTCAACCATCTTAGCACCACCTTTAAACATAGATGTTTTTCTTCATGCATTTGCACATGACACTAATTGATGATCATACTCGGTAGTAAGCTCGCTGCTCGTTAGATTTCGAAATGTTCTTCGCAGTCTCACAGAGGCAACACGGAGGGGAATTTGGTGATGTCAGGTTTTCCTATGAACTGCAGGCACAGTTGAGAGACCACAAATGCACGGTGTTACTACTCAGGTTAAGAGCTTTCAGCTAAAGCAATAAAATCATAGACTATTAGAGCCGAGAGGGAAGGAGCGTCCAAGCCAAGTTCACTTCTTTTGCCCTGAAAAACTGAAGGCCAAAAGTTAATACTGATTTCTGCCATCTGCACGGCAGGGGTATGCCAAGGCTTTGCCTTCGGGAGACTTCCTCCGTTCATTACAACACACTTGGGCTGGAGGAGGGATCCATTTATCAGAAAATGAGCCATCAGTGGAAGGCAAAGGACAGAGCCCCCAGGGAAATGGTGGAATATAAGGGAAACTGCAGATGGTCCTAGGTGTTCAGACAGAACTCTAAGGAAGTAAGATGTGCACAGATGCTAATTTCTTGCTCTGGATGTGGGAGTGATTTTCATTCGTATCAGTGTCACACCCTCTCTAGGTCTTTATTAGTATTTCAGTCCAGTGAATTACACGTGACCCCAACCCAGACAAGTCAAAAGAGAAATAAGATACTTTGTTCCGTATTGGCAAGACACCTGAGGTGCAGCTCCATGGCTGAGGTGGGGAGAAGGGGAGGGAGGCTAGGGGTGAGGACGTCCATGTTTGAGGGATTTGTGAGGGGTGAAGAATTGTGCCCATCTGCTTCTATTGCCTTCTTGCTCAGAGCACCGCAACAAGACCTCCTTATCAGTCCCTCCAGTCCCCAGCCCAGGAAGCCCCCCGTCAGAAGACAATCTACTTCTATCAACCCCTTACATATCTGTATAAATATCTCTCTGTATATTTATGTTTATTATAAAATAAATAATATGAAATATAATGTGAATTTATAAATATATAACATTTCTTTGTGCTTTTTTATGTTATATAGTTATAAATATTTGGTTATTATAATCATATATAAATTTGTAATAAGGTCCTGAGGGCAGGGACCCGATTTCATTATTTACCGTCTCGTCACAACGCTTGGCCTATAAACATTCAATTAATTCAGAATTTCCAACCACAGGAAAGGGAGAGATGTACCTTCCCAGGTATGTTTTCAGCATACTTTCACCGTTTGATGAATCAAATATGGAAAAAAACCCACATATATTTATACATTACAGTTGCTTGTTCTTTTGTTGACCGAAGGGGGGAAAATATCAAATGTGGAAGCAAAAACAAAAAGCCCTGGACAGGGCGATGAGTTTCAGATTCCGGTCCCCGGAGCTGCCAGAAACTTTTTCTTTCACCCTGCTCGGCCCCCTAGTTCCTCACCTGTGAAATGTGGATAGTAACCCTCAGACTGCGTTTCCGATAGGCAAGTTATTGAGCAAATGGACGACAAAGCCCTATGTAAACTGGGTCAGCGAATTCATTTTTTTTTTAAGAGTCAAATGGAACACGAATTCTAAATTGCATTGCGCTTAGAGGGCAGCCAAAATGGAAAGGAAAGAGATGAGTCCTTTCCACTGGATGATGATCTCATGCTGCCTCTTTTTTCCTTTCTTCTCTTCTAGGACTCCATTCCCAACCCACCAGGAAAATTCCCCCTTAAAGGAGGTAAGACCTTGGAATTGGGAGTAGATGTATATTAAATCATCCATATGACATCATAGTGGATTAACCCCCAGAAGCATCCTCGCAGTGCCCAGCAGAAAAGCCAATGGAGGCAAAGGTGGAGGCTGCTCAGAGCTGAGCTGGTGTAACTGCGTTCATCCCAGCAGCCTCCGTAGGGTACCCTGGTGCCCGCAGCTCTCTGGTTAATGAAAATTCCACCTGTGCCATAGGCCATCGCTTGGACATGGACAGGCATGCAAAGGAGAGTTGTGTTAAGAGCTTGAGATCTGGAGTCAGGCAAATGTGGTTATGAATCTTGGCTCTCTGTCCTGCCTCAGAACTTCAGTTTTTTAATCTATAAAATGGGAATAATACTACCTACCTCATGAAGGAATTGGAGAAGGCAAGTAGATCTCATCCATAAATTGCTTGGTATGGCCACTGGCATATTGTAATCATTAAGTAACTGATAGTATCCAACAGCGTTAATGAAGGTGGGGTTGTAAAAACAGATGTCCCCCTTACCCCCTACCTTTCCTACCATTGCACACACTAGTTAATGCATTGTCTCTACGAGCCCCAGAGGGGATAGGCAGAGGTAGCTTAACACTGAGGGTAACACCAGAGATCATCTGGTGAATGTTTTCCTCACACAGAAAAGGAACAGTAAGAGCCAGTAGAGTGTCATGTCCAAGGTCATATGGAGCCAAAGCCAGAACCCAGATGTCCCCATCTCTTAGCCAACGTTTTTTTTTTTTTTCCACCCCAGAACATGAACCCATCTTGCCCTATAAACTTTAGAACTTAGATAGCATTACAGCTGGATAACCGGACAGCTCAGAGAAAAAAAGTCAAAAAGAAAGGGTGGGATAGGATGGGCACCCCTCTAGAGACACCAGGGCATCTGTGGGACACAGGGTCTGAACACAGCCCTGCATACCAACAGCCTCCCACAGGGAGTTTTCTTCAGGAGGCCTTTCCTGCTATCTATCACACAGACATTTAACCAGTAGAAGCAAAAGCCGCAAACACACAGGCATTCTGGATCTTTCAAGGAAGACTAATAACTACAGCCTTGTAAAAATAGGCTATAACCTTGGCTGGAGTTACTTCACAAGTGACCTTAATTCCCATAATGCCTCTGTGGTACAGGCTAACCCTAGACTTTGAAAACCAGCAGGCACAGCTGTGGGTCCATACAACTTTATTTCTAGAATGAGGCGAGAGGCTGGCTGTGACGCACAGAGCAGACGGGAGTCTGAGAGCCCTGTTTAGGAAACAGCACAGGTTTGGGAGTCAGAACATGTAACACACGTTCTTACGGAGCTTTGCAAAACATCCCGGCACACTGAGTCACTGTCATTTTTCCTTCTCTGCTCCCACCATCCCATCACCACGCCCCCCCCCCCAAGATCTTCCAAGTTAAGACCAGAACTTCTCATGTCTTAGAGAGAGAGAGCGAGAGAGAGAGAGAGAAGGGCAGTCTTTAACAGGAACACGATTCAATGACCGGGGTAGTTTTGATGAGGCAACAGGACCCCAGAGAGTCTGGATCCCCGTTCCTGTACCTGCAGACTCCGTCCTTCACAGGTGGCCAAGCACAGAGACTCCCACTGCCGGTCTGGCCCTATGCTGGTGTTCACCAGCCCAGAGTGAAATAGGGGAAGAGAAGGACAAGGTAGCCCCTCCTTCCCATAGCCAACAACTATTTTAATGTAAGGGGTGCTCTTTTCCTCTGAAAGTACATCCTTCCTTCCCAAAAGCATAAAACTGCCCTTTCTTTTACAACATGGGGCTGAAATAGATGCAAATTAAGTTCACTTGCTTTTTGTCTGAGTTATTTTGTTTTGTTTTAATGGGCACAAGAGACAAAATCAAAAGATGCCCACTCTGCATTGGCCACTGAGTTTTCCTCTGGGTGTAAATTTCTCTGGTCCATGAAACCCAGAATTGTGGGAGCCATGGGCTAGGTCCCCCATCAAATCCCTTCTTATTTTGGCCATCGCTGTATCAGAACACGCACGAATCCAAAATCAACCCTCAGTTGGCAATTCAGCGTTTCTGCAGCCAGATTTTAGAAACGCTAACCGTCATCCCTACCAGGGCTATGAAACTTTTGTCAAGGATCTTCCCGTGCCTCGTGTGGGTTGATCCTCGCCTTGACCATGCAAGCAAGCAACGTGGGGGTTCGTATTTCCCTACCGCAGATGAGAAGCTGAGGTCCAAGCCCTCAGGGTAACTTGCCTGAGGTCACCCAAGAAGCTGATGGCAGAGCAGGGATCAGAATCCAGTCCTCTCTCTCCCCTGAACGACATGCCTCAGCCATGAGGTGTTCATGGCCAGCTGTTGTTGTGTTCCCTGACTGTCTCCTGTTTATAATATACGTCTACTTTTCCCCTAACCTGGCCAGCTGCAGACACAGTTCTAGGGCGAGGTGGAAAGAACATTGCCAAGGAGCAAGGGCTCTGGAACAGATTTTCCTGCCAGCTGGCTGTTTCTCTGGGCCAGTCTTCCGCCTCTCTGGGCCTCACCTATAATGTAGTAACAGTGTACTAAAATTAAATGAAAGGGGCTTTCCAGCTTTGACGGGTTATGACCCTCCGATTATTTTGCTCAGTATGTAAATAGAAAAGAAAAAAAGCCCAACAATAGTCTTGGGGGAATCTATGTCCACAGCCTCCTTCCCCAGTAAGCCCCTTCTAAACAGACACAAGCAGCAATTGCCCCTTTTCAAAAGCCATTGAGAGACACCTGGCAGAGGGGAGCCATCTCCCAGAAAGCCCTGGGAAGGGGCGCCAGGGGCCACATGTCGTTTGTGACTGGAGTGGACAAGGGCAGAAGCCAGGTATGGTCTAGGGAGCCCTTGGCCACTAGCAGAAGCAAATCACACACCCTCGGCAGGCAGCGGCCCAGAGCCCAGGAGGCAGGCCCATGTACACGCACGAAGTTACCCTAACACAGGACGACACTTGGCTGCACGATAACCACAGAAAAACCAGCCTGTTTTGTCATGGAAGGATTTCTTCGTCCCAGCACAAGCTCTGCAGACCAGCCAGGAGCCTGGTGACTGGCAGACTGCCACGTCACACTCATTCCACAGTGCTTAGGGCACAGTGGACCATTCTGAGTGTTCAGTAGGGACTGTGGGCCAGGAGGACCACAGGGAGGAGACCCTTGCCCCACATCCTTCTCCTCTCATCTAGAAAATGGAATTAATAAGGACCTCCTCCCCGCCCCGAGACACCATGAGGGTGACAAGGGACGGCAAACATGACCTTCATTTGCCACCTGGCTGAGCCTATGCCCCTTGGACACAGAGTCCACTCTCTTCTTTTATCCCCAAATAAAATGACTCTGTCCCATCCCACACAGGGTGAGCAACCAAGGTCGGCCTCCAGGGAGAGCCCTGGGTGGCTGGCCTTCTTCTCCTCACTTCTTACTCTAATTTTCCACTTCTGCCACATTTTGAATCTCACAGGTGCTTATGTTATGCGGCATATTTGCCCAAATCACAGAATGTAGGCCCTTTGCCTTGATTTCCCCCAGAGCTCCAACAGCACCCCACCTTTGCTAAAGCCAAGTTTGCCATAGGATTCAGGGTACTTAGCGGAGTTGGTAGGGCAGTGTCTTCCATCCCAGGGATGATGCAATTGGAGTACTAGAGCCTTCTGTTCTTGTAAGACCTCTGCTCCTCCAGTCACCGGGAATTTCTCAAAGGACAGCTTTCCCCACGGGCACTCAGCCCTCTGTCCTGTGTATTAACCCGCCCTCCTTCTACCTCTTCTTTCTTCCCCATTTTCATTCCCCACCCCCCACCCCACAAGCTCGACATTTATTTCATAGAATGGTTTTGGCCACCTTGACTGACTTGCCTGAGATTACACAGCTAGTAGGGAATCAGCCTACTAGGAGGTCTTGCCCCATTCCCTCTTAGCTTATCCAAGATTGTACTGACAGGTGCTTAGGACAACACCCTGTGCTTCCTTCCAAGACCCGTACCAGTTGGTTCCCTGGGGCTGGGCACCCTTCCAACATTATGGCTTCCTCATCACCTGTTCCCACAGCTGTTTGTTTTCTTGTTTTGGAGTCCTGCAGCAGTAAGGGTCATAAACAGTCCACGTAGGGAATTTGGAAGCCGAGAATTGAAACCCTCCCTTTGCGGCTAACGCATCATGAGGCTGGGAGATTCTTTCCCTCCCCACAGCCTCCAGCTAGAAGAAGTCAGCCTTTCCTGTGTCATGGGGTGCCCCCTCTCCACAGGTTCCTGGAGGCCCTGAGGAAGGGGAACCAGTGAATAGACCAATTCCCTTCCCTCCTCTGCAAACTTTCTCCTGAATCCAGTACCCAGCAGGAGACAGGAGCAAAGACAGAGAACAAGGTCGAACTTTGGAATACCTACATTCCGGTCCTGGGACTCGAAGCCATGCATTTTCCCTCTCAGGGGCCTGGAATATCCTGTTGTCTAAAATGTCAAGAGTGAGGAGAACCAGCCAGATGACCTGAGCTTGGCATGGATTTTGTTTTGAGGCTGACATTCCTGGAATTAAACAAATGGTGTATTTCATAGTTCTAACAATGGACAATTTTTAGATGGCTTGGCAGATTACCCTCCTCCACACCCCCTCTGCTAAAAAAGAAAATGTGGGCATTAAAAGAGATCAAGTAAGGCTTGCTTTTCATTGTGCCCGGTGAACCTACCCGCTCACAGACAATAAAAACTGCCTTTGAAGGCAATGAAACTGATCCACGGGGGACCGCTGCTCAGGATCCCCAGCTACCCCTGCTGTCCCGTCCCCACCAGGATGCCACACTGAGGGCGGAAGAGGCAGGCAGAGAAGCAGCAGCCTCCCCCATCCCCAGAACCACTGCAAACAGCAGAGACCTGCCTCATGTCTACCAGATAGAATGATCTGGTTAATGATTGCCCAATTCACCCGTTGTGGTGAGCCTTTTTTTTTTTTTTTAACTTTTCACAGCATGAGGGGGTACTTCTGCTCAGGTGG